GTTTGACCTACAGAGGTCAGCAAAGGTCACGTGGCCCAAATTTGCACAGCAGATTGTGGCCCACCCAGTAGAGCTAGAGCGCTAAAAATGGCACCAATCGACTCGCCAGCATCTAATCTTACTTTCCCAACACTCATTTGACCTCTCAAGGTCATGCGATGACCTAAGGTCATTTGTGGGCTATGTCGAAAATACACTTGCACAGCAGTTTTCGAGTAGATGGATTGACCGAATTCCAAATCAGAGCACATCATCGGGTAGCCCATAGGCCGTAGTAACTTTCCTTGAAAACCGCTTTTCGATATGTGACCCCGTTTGACCTCGGCAGGTCAAAATGTGCAAATAATCGACACTCAATGCGTCGCAGCCCGGATTCAGCCCAGATTCGGGACACCTCCGATCAAGCTGAAACTCGCACACAATGTAGGCCATGACATGCCCAATCCACAGTCCAAGTCATTTGGTGGCACTCCCAGCCGTTTGACCTACAGAGGTCAGCAAAGGTCACGTGGCCCAAATTTGCACAGCAGATTGTGGCCCACCCAGTAGAGCTAGAGCGCTAAAAATGGCACCAATCGACTCGCCAGCATCTAATCTTACTTTCCCAACACTCATTTGACCTCTCAAGGTCATGCGATGACCTAAGGTCATTTGTGGGCTATGTCGAAAATACACTTGCACAGCAGTTTTCGAGTAGATGGATTGACCGAATTCCAAATCAGAGCACATCATCGGGTAGCCCATAGGCCGTAGTAACTTTCCTTGAAAACCGCTTTTCGATATGTGACCCCGTTTGACCTCGGCAGGTCAAAATGTGCAAATAATCGACACTCAATACGTCGCAGCCCGGATTCAGCCCAGATTCGGGACACCTCCGATCAAGCTGAAACTCACACACAATGTAGGCCATGACATGCCCAATCCACAGTCCAAGTCATTCGGTGGCACTCCCAGCCGTTTGACCTACAGAGGTCAGCAAAGGTCACGTGGCCCAAATTTGCACAGCAGATTGTGGCCCACCCAGTAGAGCTAGAGCGCTAAAAATGGCACCAATCGACTCGCCAGCATCTAATCTTACTTTCCCAACACTCATTTGACCTCTCAAGGTCATGCGATGACCTAAGGTCATTTGTGGGCTATGTCGAAAATACACTTGCACAGCAGTTTTCGAGTAGATGGATTGACCGAATTCCAAATCAGAGCACATCATCGGGTAGCCCATAGGCCGTAGTAACTTTCCTTGAAAACCACTTTTCGATATGTGACCCCGTTTGACCTCGGCAGGTCAAAATGTGCAAATAATCGACACTCAATACGTCGCAGCCCGGATTCAGCCCAGATTCGGGACACCTCCGATCAAGCTGAAACTCACACACAATGTAGGCCATGACATGCCCAATCTACAGTCCAAGTCATTTGGTGGCACTCCCAGCCGTTTGACCTACAGAGGTCAGCAAAGGTCACGTGGCCCAAATTTGCACAGCAGATTGTGGCCCACCCAGTAGAGCTAGAGCGCTAAAAATGGCACCAATCGACTCGTCAGCATCTAATCTTACTTTCCCAACACTCATTTGACCTCTCAAGGTCATGCGATGACCTAAGGTCATTTGTGGGCTATGTCGAAAATACACTTGCACAGCAGTTTTCGAGTAGATGGATTGACCGAATTCCAAATCAGAGCACATCATCGGGTAGCCCATAGGCCGTAGTAACTTTCCTTGAAAACCGCTTTTCGATATGTGACCCCGTTTGACCTCGGCAGGTCAAAATGTGCAAATAATCGACACTCAATACGTCGCAGCCCGGATTCAGCCCAGATTCGGGACACCTCCGATCAAGCTGAAACTCGCACACAATGTAGGCCATGACATGCCCAATCCACAGTCCAAGTCATTCGGTGGCACTCCCAGCCGTTTGACCTACAGAGGTCAGCAAAGGTCACGTGGCCCAAATTTGCACAGCAGATTGTGGCCCACCCAGTAGAGCTAGAGCGCTAAAAATGGCACCAATCGACTCGCCAGCATCTAATCTTACTTTCCCAACACTCATTTGACCTCTCAAGGTCATGCGATGACCTAAGGTCATTTGTGGGCTATGTCGAAAATACACTTGCACAGCAGTTTTCGAGTAGATGGATTGACCGAATTCCAAATCAGAGCACATCATCGGGTAGCCCATAGGCCGTAGTAACTTTCCTTGAAAACCGCTTTTCGATATGTGACCCCGTTTGACCTTGGCAGGTCAAAATGTGCAAATAAATGACACTCAATACGTCGCAGCCCGGATTCAGCCCAGATTCGGGACACCTCCGATCAAGCTGAAACTCACACACAATGTAGGCCATGACATGCCCAATCCACAGTCCAAGTCATTCGGTGGCACTCCCAGCCGTTTGACCTACAGAGGTCAGCAAAGGTCACGTGGCCAAAATTTGCACAGCAGATTGTGGCCCACCCAGTAGAGCTAGAGCGCTAAGAATGGCACCAATCGACTCGCCAGCATCTAATCTTACTTTCCCAACACTCATTTGACCTCTCAAGGTCATGCGATGACCTAAGGTCATTTGTGGGCTATGTCGAAAATACAATTGCACAGCAGTTTTCGAGTAGATGGATTGACCGAATTCCAAATCAAAGCACATCATCGGGTAGCCCATAGGCCGTAGTAACTTTCTTTGAAAACCGCTTTTCGATATGTGACCCCGTTTGACCTCGGCAGGTCAAAATGTGAAAATAAACGAGACTCAATACGTCGCAGCCCGGATTCAGCCCAGATTCGGGACACCTCCGATCAAGCTGAAACTCGCACACAATGTAGGCCATGACATGCCCAATCCACAGTCCAAGTCATTCGGTGGCACTCCCAGCCGTTTGACCTACAGAGGTCAGCAAAGGTCACGTGGCCCAAATTTGCACAGCAGATTGTGGCCCACCCAGTAGAGCTAGAGCGCTAAAAATGGCACCAATCGACTCGCCAGCATCTAATCGTACTTTCCCAACACTCATTTGACCTCTCAAGGTCATGCGATGACCTAAGGTCATTTGTGGGCTATGTCGAAAATACACTTGCACAGCAGTTTTCGAGTAGATGGATTGACCGAATTCCAAATCAAAGCACATCATCGGGTAGCCCATAGGCCGTAGTAACTTTGCTTGAAAACCGCTTTTCGATATGTGACCCCGTTTGACCTCGGCAGGTCAAAATGTGCAAATAAACGACACTCAATGCGTCGCAGCCCGGATTCAGCCCAGATTCGGGACACCTCCGATCAAGCTGAACTCGCACGTGACCTTTGCTGACCTCTGTAGGTCAAACGGCTGGGAGTGCCACCGAATGACTTGGACTGTGGATTGGGCATGTCATGGCCTACATTGTGTGCGAGTTGTAGCTTGATCGGAGGTGTCCCGAATCTGGGCTGAATCCGGGCTGCAACGTATTGAGTGTCATTTATTTGCACATTTTGACCTGCCAAGGTCAAACGGGGTCACATATCGAAAAGCGGTTTTCAAGGAAAGTTACTACGGCCTATGGGCTACCCGATGATGTGCTTTGATTTGGAATTCGGTCAATCCATCTACTCGAAAACTGCTGTGCAATTGTATTTCGACATAGCCCACAAATGACATTAGCTCATCGCATGACCTTGAGAGGTCAAATGAGTGTTGGGAAAGTAAGATTAGATGCTGGCGAGTCGATTGGTGCCATTTTTAGCGCTCTAGCTCTACTGGGTGGGCCACAATCTGCTGTGCAAATTTTGGCCAAGTGACCTTTGCTGACCTCTGTAGGTCAAACGGCTGGGAGTGCCACCGAATGACTTGGACTGTGGATTGGGCATGTCATAGCCTACATTGTGTGCGAGTTTCAGCTTGATCGGAGGTGTCCCGAATCTGGGCTGAATCCGGGCTGCGACGTATTGAGTGTCATTTATTTGCACATTTTGACCTGCCAAGGTCAAACGGGGTCACATATCGAAAAGCGGTTTTCAAGGAAAGTTACTACGGCCTATGGGCTACCCGATGATGTGCTTTGATTTGGAATTCGGTCAATCCATCTACTCGAAAACTGCTGTGCAAGTGTATTTTCGACATAGCCCACAAATGACCTTAGGTCATCGCATGACCTTGAGAGGTCAAATGAGTGTTGGGAAAGTAAGATTAGATGCTGGCAAGTCGATTGGCGCCATTTTTAGCGCTCTAGCTCTACTGGGTGGGCCACAATCTGCTGTGCAAATTTGGGCCACGTGACCTTTGCTGACCTCTGTAGGTCAAACGGCTGGGAGTGCCACCGAATGACTTGGACTGTGGATTGGACATGTCATGGCCTACATTGTGTGCGAGTTTCAGCTTGATCAGAGGTGTCCCGAATCTGGGCTGAATCCGGGCTGAATCTGGGCTGAATATGGACTGTCTTGATCAACATGTCTCATTTGTACTTATTGGAGACGACTGACGAGCAGACGCGCCTAACAGCTGATTGGAGCACGACCCCATTATACCCGGACGAAGTAGGTGCCTGTTTGATCTTTAATTTGTTTATTGAACTTGGTTTTGTTTGTCCATGATTGTTTCATATCCTCATTTAATCATCAATGTCTTGATCTAGTCATTTTGTATGTGTTATCGTGTTTATGTGTTGCGACTGAATCTGACCGAATGTTGTTGTGTGTGTGTGGTTTTTTGACAGTTTTTACGGTCATTGGTCATCAGTATTGACCATCTCCACATCGAGGCTGCAATAAACCTTTTAGTTCGATCCAATTTTATTTTGAGTTGCAGTTTGATTAACGGCGATGGATGATGGCGCTATCAGTTAAAATTCTTCCACCCGTAGTGGGGTGGCTTCAGTTATGATGTGTCACCAGTTTTGAGTTGTTTTCTGTAGTATAGTTACCTACAACTTGTGTTTGTAGTATAGTGTTTGGTGAAGTTAATAGTTTTTAACATAACCAATTCCTCTGAACCACTAACCTATTGATACTGACCTACCTTACCTGAACTAACATGGCTGATTCGGGGAAGGATGATGAGACGTTGGACGCTCTGCAGTCCAGTTCTGGGAGAGCCATCCGTCCAACAGAGGCGGGACGCGAGTACCAAACTCAACTGAAGACGAAGGCCTACAAGCATCAGCTACGTGAACTGAAGCAGCTCAGTCGGCAGGTGGTCCGACAGAGTGGTACTGAAGTGGAGCTGAACCCAGACATCTCAGAAGAGAAGGCAAAGAAGTGGATCCACAACTACATCTCCTTCTCACAGACAGAATATGAGTTGTGTCACTTGCTCCCTCGGGCTGAAGTGGAGCAACACTCAGAGAACCACAAGATGGTTTTGGAAGAAATCGACCAAGTCAGAATGGTGGTTGAAGGCTACTTGAAGAGCAGACAGCCGCAGAAGACGGCAAGTGCATCAGTGGCTGGCTCTGGCGTCAGCACGAAGTCTGGCCTTCAGCTGATGCAGATCGAAGACCAGCGCAAGAAAGCTGAAGTGGCAGCAAGACTGTCTATGCTGAAGGCAAGGCAAGAGCTTGAGCGTCAACGCCAGGAGTTGCAATGGAAAGAAGAGGAGTTGGCACTGCAAACTGAGATCGAAATCCAGCAGAGACAGGCAGAGGTGACACACAAGTTCAAGCTGGAACTGGAAGGTCAGACTGAGGGAAACGCTGTAACCAGCCGCCATCCGGAACAGACAGTAGAGGACATTGCTGCTCCATCTGATCACCAGCAGCAGCCTGCACCAGGACTGAGCACTGCAGGTGACACGAACCGAGAAGCTGATGTGAGGAATCCTAGTCAAGAACCTTCGCAGGGAGCAGCCGCCTCTTCTGCAGCAGAGCTTCTCTCAGGGCTGGCTCAGCTACTTGCAGAGCAGAGTAAGAGAAGTTCTCTGCCAGCCCTGGAGCCAGAGGTGTTCCGTGGTGATGCAGAGCAGTTTCACCTGTGGATGAAATCATTTGAAAGCTACATTGAAGCGCGCACTTCATCAGCTGCCGAGAGGCTACACTTCCTCTCTCGGTACACGAGCGGTGAAGCACGCAACGCGATCCAAGGGTTTCTGCACCTGAGCTCAGAAGATGCTTATGGTGAGGCGAAGGCGAAACTGCAAGAGCGTTATGGAAGCAACTTCATAACTGCACAGACCTACAGAAGGAAGATACGTACATGGCCGAAGATCGCTCCTGGCGATGCAAGGGGACTCCGGCAGTTCGCCGACTACTTGGAGAGCTGCGAAGTTGCTTCAAGAACCGTTGCAGGTCTGGATGTCCTCAGTGACCCTGACGAGAACGTTCGGATGCTTCAGCTACTGCCGAAGTACATTGTGAACCGCTGGGAACGGGTGGTAGACGAGGCGCTCTACGAGCCCCGCCTCGGATCCAGCGCGAGGTATCCGTCTCTAGGCGAGTTTGTCCTCTTTTTGAGGAAAGAAGCGCGCGTTGCCAGCGGACCAGTTGGTAGTCGTCTCTCCGAAGCTGAGCAGAACACGAAGAAGTCTCAGCCCAAGACAAGAGCAAGAACATTCTTAGCTGCCACCAACGCGCCGTCAGATGGTGACCAAGTGCCAAGATTGAGGTGCAAGATTTGCAATGGAGACCACACTCTGGACTACTGTCAGAAGTTCATCAAGATGAGCGTCCGTGAGAGACATGACGCCGTCCTCAAGCACGGTCTCTGCAGAGGCTGTCTCAAGCCTGGACATGTGTGGCGTACGTGCAAGGTGAAGAAACGGTGCACTAAGTGTGGGAAGCTGCATCCTACCGTCCTACATGATGACGCTCTGGTGGCCTCTGATGGTGGGCGATCAAGCACGAAGAGCAGTCAGGGTACCCAGACAAGTGCGACTTCTCTTCAGGTGGGCGTTGCAGAGAGAAATGTGTGCGCCCATTCGATGGTCGTCCCCGTGCGGCTTCGTCATGATGAGCGACCAGATAGAGAGATCGTCACCTACGCCTTATTGGACTTGCAGTCAGACGCCTGTTTTATCAAGGAGTCGGTACGCCAGCAGATGGACGTTGAAGGGGTGGAAACCCGTCTGCAACTGAACACAATGACCGGGAAATCAGTCGAGCGAGCCCACGCCGTCCATGGTCTAGTGGTGCAGGCAGTTGATGGCGGAGACGAAGTACCCCTGCCTACGACCTACTCGCGCTCCGATATCCCGGCAGATCGTGGGCTCATCCCCAAAGAAGAGAGCGTACGGAAGTGGCCTCACTTGAAGTCTGTCGGACAGCAACTGCCTCCATACTTCGATGAAGCCGAGATTGGAGTCTTGATCGGAATCAACTGCGCGAAGGCAGTGAAGCCTCTAGAAGTTGTCGCGGGAGAAGACCACGAGCCATGGGCAATGAAGACAGTACTTGGATGGAGTATCGTCGGTATCCTGGACAGTGAGGCGAAAAGGAGCAACGGGACGTCCTGTCACTTTGCCTTCCGCGTGCACACTCGAGAAGTGAGCCCTGTTCAGCTGATGCACCTGCTTGAGGCTGACTTCCACGACACGCTTGAAGAGCACACGTACTCACAAGACGACACGAAGTTCATGAACATCGTGCAAAGCAAAATACATCAGAGAGAGGACCTCCATTTCGAGATGCCCCTCCCGCTGAGGGACCAGTCGTTCTCCTTTCCGGACAACAGAGAGGTGACTTTGAAGAGGCTCCAAGGATTGAAACGCAGACTGGCGAAAGACCCAAGGTTCCGAGAGGAGTATGAAGCGTTTATGAATGAGATGCTGGAGAGAGGCTACGCCGAAGTCGTTCCAGCCGATGAACAAGAACAGGAGGGACATGTGTGGTACGTACCACATCATGGGGTGTGCCACCCCAAGAAGGCCAAGCTCAGAGTGGTGTTCGATTGTAGCGCTCAACATCAAGGAGTGTCTCTGAACTCGCAGCTCCTTCAGGGTCCAGACGTCGGAAATAGTCTCATCGGCGTACTTATCCGTTTCAGAAAGGAGCTCGTCGGCCTCAGCTGTGATGTTCAGAGAATGTTTAACCAGGTCGGCGTCAACCCAGAAGACCGGAACCTCCTCCGCTTCCTGTGGTGGAAGCGAGGTGACATCACCGCTAGCCCAGAAGAGCACCGCATGACAACACACCTGTTCGGGGCGACGTCCTCGCCAGCGTGTGCGATGATGGCATGGAAGGAAACTGCCAACAGATACGAGAGTACATCAGGAAGAAGTGCAGCCGAGTTCGTGCGGCGTAACTTCTACGTGGACGACGGCCTCACATCCGTACCAGACGTGGAGTCTGCCGTAGACCTGGCGAAGAGAACCATCGATCTCTGCGCGAAAGGAGGCTTCAACCTACGGAAGTTCGCGTCTAACGAGTCTGAGGTCCTGCTACAGCTCCCGGCCAACCGTCGCGCCAAGGACTTGCAAGAAGTCGAAGTCATGAGTGAGATGACGGCACTTGAACACACCTTGGGCATCAGGTGGAACCTGAGAGACGACACTCTCGGCTTCAGCTTCGAGACTCCAGAACGGCCACCCACCAGAAGAGGGATCCTCTCTCTCGTGAGCTCCCTCTACGACCCTTTGGGTTTCGTATCGCCGGTAACCCTTCAAGGCAAGAAGATCTTGAAGCAGCTTTGCACAGATGGATACGATTGGGATGATCCAGTAGCCGATGAGACTGCCCAACGCTGGGAAAGCTGGAAGTCCGGCCTCTCGCAGCTCTCCTCAGTGAGTGTGCCCAGGTGCTACGCCCATGGCCTGGGACAAGAGTGTGTGAAGCTGTACGAGTTGCATCACTTCTGTGATGCAAGTCTGGAAGGCTACGGCTACTGCAGCTATCTAAGGATCATGACGGAGGACGGGCAAATGGCATCATCACTCGTCTTCAGCAAAGCACGAGTCACTCCTAAGCGCCCTCTCACCGTACCCAGACTGGAGCTGACTGCGGCAGTGGCGATGGTGAAGGGCAGCTGTCTCCTAAGAAGAGAGCTAGATATACCAGAGTTGAACGAAGTGTTCTGGACCGACAGCAAAGTGGTGCTGGGTTATATCTACAACGAATCGAAGAGGTTTCATGTCTTCGTGTCGAACCGCGTCCAGCAGATTCGACAGGCGACGCGCCCCACTCAGTGGCGACACGTAGCGTCCGAAGATAACCCAGCTGACATAGCATCGAGAGGAGCAGCTCTGAACGAGCTGAAGACCAACGGTCTGTGGTGGAACGGACCTGCGTTCCTTCTGCAGCGCGGAGGTCTTCCCGGACAGGTCACAAAGGCAGAAGTGGCATCGGATGACCCTGAAGTGAAGGCAGCAAGTGTGCTCAAGATTGAAGTCCGAGGAGTCCCAGAGCAGGATGGTCAAAACCAGTCTCTGGCCAAACGACTGGACTACTTTTCCAGCTGGTCTCGAGCCAAACGAGCTGTCGCCGTGGTACGGCGCTTCTGCCAGATAGTGCGCCAGCGCGCAAGAAGCTGTGACCGAGATACAGCACAACATGAGGAGGGCGCGCTGGGACAGCCGCGCGGAGTGGCGACCAGCGTAGAAGAGCTGAACAAAGCTGAAAGGGCAATTCTGAAGTCTGTTCAAGCTGACAGTTTCAGCGAAGAGCTTCAGAGACGGAACTTGGCCCTTCAATCAACAGACGAAAGAAGTGGACGGATCAAGCGGTGCGTCAAGAAGACGAGCTCGTTGTTCCGACTGGACCCGTTCATCGACAACGACGGTCTGCTGCGAGTTGGGGGTCGACTCCGGAGAGCAGATGTGCCTTTCGAAGTGGCTCATCCGGTGATATTGCCCAATCGCTCACATGTGACAGACCTTGTTGTGCGTCATGTGCATGACCAGATGGAGCACTGCGGACGAGAGACAACTCTGAGTGAAGTGAGACAGCGAGGATACTGGATAGTACGAGGAAGGTCTGCGGTGTCTCGATGCATCCCGAAGTGTGTGAAATGCATCCGTCTGAGAGGAACGCCGTCTGTACAAAAGATGTCGGATCTCCCTGCAGAACGTGTGGAAGGTGCCGAGCCGTTCACGTTCACAGGAGTGGACTATTTCGGCCCTTTCTATATCCGGGAAAAGAGAAGCGATGTGAAGCGATGGGGCGTGATGTTCACGTGCCTGAGCTCCCGAGGTGTCCACTTGGAGACAGCAAACTCACTATCGGCTGACTCGTTCTTGAACGCATACCGGCGCTTCGTGGGGCGGAGAGGCCCGGTTCGCCGTTTGTTTTGCGATCAAGGAACCAACTTCATGGGCGGCAAGAGCCTTCTGGAAGCCGCCCTGAAGGAGACTGACCACAAGAAGATCCAGGATGAGCTCCTGAAGGATGACTGCGACCTCGTTGAGTTCCACACCAACGTCCCTCACGCAAGTCATATGGGAGGCGTTTGGGAGCGACCGATTCGGACAGCGCGGGCGGTGTTCAGCAGCATCCTGGCCTCGTACGGCCACAGCCTGGACGACGAACTGCTGCGCACAGTGATGGTCGAGACAGAAGCCATCATCAACGGCCAGCCACTTACTTACACTAGTATGTCCGATACTAACACGGTCGAACCCCTGACTCCTCAGCAGCTACTAACCTTAAAGTCGAAAGTAGTGTGCTCTCTTCCGGGACGATTCGTCAAGGAGGACCTGTACGCGAGACATCGCTGGAGGCGCGTGCAATTCCTGGCGAACCTCTTCTGGACACGCTGGAGGAGAGAGTTCCTGCCTTCTCTGCAGGAGCGGAGACGGTGGCAGGCAACTGAACCCAACGTCCGAGACGGTGACGTCGTGATCGTCGTGGACGATGCTGCCCCAAGGGGGCGGTGGCCGATGGGACGCGTTTCATACAAGGTGTATTAGCAGTGTGTAAGGCGTTAGCAGACAAAGAAACAAGCAGCTTACCTCGAAGGTATATGCAGGCTCTGGAGGGTCTCTCAAAGGACAAAAACATTGTGATTACTCAGGCAGATAAGGGAGGTGGGGTGATCATTATGGATAGCGTCCAATATGTAGATAAACTGAAGGAACTGTTAGCGGACATTGAAACGTACGAGGAAAAAGCCAAAGGGTTTTCCAAAAAACAAGGCCAAAACTTCAATAAGAAAGCCCGAAAGATTCTTCGAAAGACTGAAAAAGGTAAGACTTTCACTCATCTGTTAGAGGAGGCTCCAAGAGCTCCACGCCTAAGAGGTCTTCCAAAAGTGCATAAATTGGGGATACCGATGCGCCCCATAATATCGGGAATTGGTAGCGCACCTCACCGACTGGCTAAGGTGCTGGCGAAGCCCCTCTCCAGGGCTCTGGGTTCTATAAGCGCGTCTCACATAAAAAACACGTCCGAAATGATCGACCAGTTGAAAAACATTGACATGTCAGGAAAGAAACTAGCCAGTTTTGATGTAAAATCCCTTTTCACGAATGTGCCTGTAGAAGGAGCTTTAGAGGCGATCGCCAAAGCCGTTAATAATATAGATGAAAGATCTCTTCCTCTTCCAAAAGCGCAGTATAAAGAACTAGTGACACTTTGCATGCAGTTTAACACGTTTACTTTGGGTGACACTGAATACGTTCAGTCAAATGGTTTAGCCATGGGATCTCCGTTAAGTCCAGTAGCGGCTTGCTTGTACATGGAAAACCTGGAGGAAGAAAAGTACAAACATATCATGGGTCCTGAGTGCACCTGGATTCGTTACGTTGACGACGTGCTCGTAATAGTTCCATACGATATGAACCTGAAAGAGAAGGTTATTGCCCTGAATGCCGTCGATCCGAAAATCCAATTCACAATTGAAACCGAAAACAGCGGAACGATTCCTTTCTTGGACACACTGGTTATTAGGTGCGGAAGTACAGCAAAATTTAAGGTATACAGAAAGCCTACAAATAAAGAAGACTACGTCCACTTCCTTTCAGGACACAGCGATCGCGTAAAAAGTGGCATAGTCATCGGCTTCTTCCTCCGAGCATTCAGGATTTGTAGCGAAGAATTCCTCGACGAAGAGGTCATCCATATATACGAAACGTTTACAAGACTTCATTATCCAAAAGGTTACTTGATTCGGCTCCAAAACAAGGCGAAAGAAATAAGGAGGAAGAGTGTAGAAGAAAAGAAGAAACAAAAACAAGAACAAAAGAAGCGAGGACGATTCATAACGATTCCCATCTCGAAACAAGCGAACGAAATAGCGACTAGTCTACGATCAGCTGGAACCAATGTAGCCATCGTTTCAGGATCAAAGATTCAAGATTTAGTGCGACCGAAGATGGTGAACACATCAGACAACAGTGTTATATATAAGATACCTTGTTCTGGACCATGTTCAAAATCATATGTCGGAACGGGGAGGGGTTTAAAGACACGACTTCAAGAGCACAAACGTGATGTTCGAAATCATAATGTGTCCAATGCGATGGTGCTTCATATAGAAAAGTGTCATTATCTTCCAGCTTGGGACTCAGCTACAGTGATGGAAAAGGGCATGTCAAAACCGATTAGGAGAGCCATGGAAGCTGCATATATTTTACTTGAAGACACTGTTAACATAAAACCAGGCTTCTACAGCTGGTCCAGGATAGGTGCGAAAATGGTGCTTAAAAACAAATAGCTATATCTATAGGAGTGTCTCTGTTATCATGTGTCAATGTGTCAATTCCAATGCTGTGATTATGACTTACAGAATAGTTTAAACAGAAGAACGATATATCATTTTAGTGCGAGATTAGATATCACTTATATTTCAAAAAGGTAAAACTGTATTTCGTGCAGGCTGGTTGTCTTCTATATTTTTTATCAATGTAAAGCCTATCTTGTTTCCACTGACGAAGGCACTTTGTTGTCGAAACGTCTGATCTTATTACATTGTTTTTTGGATTGTCATTGTCGTTGAAAAAAAAACAAAATGTCTGACTCTTCTAGAAGTCAGCCTTCCCTGTACAGAGTAGAGCCCTAGCCTGTTCAGTCTCTCAGCATAAGTTAAAGGGACCCTCCCACCTTCAAAAAAGTTAATGAATTGGCACGAAAGTGATGTCGCTCGGTTCAGAAAGAGCGAAAACGAATATCTACCAAATTTCATCGAAAAATATTCACCGGTTTTCAAGATATTAGACTTTTACTTTTGTTTACTTTTTGGGATCTCCGCTGTTCCTAGCGACTTTATTTGAAAGTGCGGCATTTGTTGCGCGCAAAGCAGCATATACCACCGCGTGCTACCAAACGTTTTAGTAAAAGATTTAAAAATCGTTAGATCTCCGCTGACGTCACAAATTCTAAGGGGGCATACCAATGCACTAGCCCCTTAGAATCCGAAAACTGCAAGTTTGAAATTCCATATCTCCGAATTAAAGCATTTGTCGATGTTGTGAGTGCCCAAACCGGTATTTGCAGGCCATGGCCACCAATTTGGCTATCTCAACTCAAAACTAATGTTAAGGTGGGAGTGTCCCTTTAAGTATGATAGTGACTCCACGCGCTTAGTCCATTGCCTCTGGACACGTTCGAGTTTCCGAGCATCCTCCACGTAGCCTGTGTTCCAAAGACACGAACCATATTCAATAACTGGTCTGACGTGGGTCTTGAAAAGGAATGTCATAAAATCAGGATTGCGACACACTGTGGATTTGAAGAAGCTGCGGCAGAGTCCTGAGGCTTTGTGAGCGACGGATTCAATGTGTAGGTGGAACTTCAAGGCTATGTCCACTGTAACCCCTAAGTCAGGATGTAAGCTGACAAAGGGTAGCGGGTTCCCATTAACCCGGCAGTTGCTGGGGTATTTCGCCACCCACCGTTTGCTGGGGGGGGGCGTTAAACGCCCCCAGCCGATAACTCGAGAACCAATAGGCACAGCGAAACGCACGAGGCGGCAAACGAAAGAGCGCGACGAGACGCTTCAGATGAGTACTTTAAAATTGAATTTTGAGGTCACAGGTCGGGTCAAGGTCAGGTCAAACACCTGA